GGTTTACAGATCCCTTCCTGTCCTTACAGGATGTTTCCCTTGTGTGCCTCTCTCTGTGTCCAGATTTCCTACTTTTAATGAAGGCATCCCCAGCCATGTGGATTCTGGCCCACCCTCATGCCCATGTCTTAACTAATTATATCTGCTCAACCTGATTTCCAAGTAAGGTAACACTTAGAGCTTCCAGAGATTCAAAAGTCATAGAAAAAAAAAAGAAAATAATTTTTAAAATATATAAAAACAAACAATTTTTTAAAAAGTCATAGGAATTTGAAATAGAAATTAAAACTGGGGGGCAGGAGGACCACACAGCATTCAATATAATTCGACACAACAAAAATTCATAGGAGTTCATGAATTTGGGGCTGGGTCTGCCGTTCAACAAAACAAGGTGTTGTACGCTCTCACACAGTCCCCCGTCCCCAAGAGGTAGCATCCTCTGTGTACCACCCAGAGCTAGGCATGTCACAGCTGTACCATTGATCCATCTCACCTGCCCAGCCCGGAGGGCAATTGTGTTCTGTGGGGAGGACCAAGGCCCAGCCGAGGCTGCTCCTGTGACAGACCTAAGCCATGGAAGTCAGGCTTCTTGGTGGCCCCATGGCTTCAGGAGAACTCTAGAAGGCAGTGGGGCCCTTGTTCTCAGATGTTTTCACAGCAAGGTGACAGCTCCTGCCCTTGGCAACAACCTGTAGCTCCACAGGGTCACACTGTACCGATTGTGCTTTAGTTTGGTTCTGCCTTGTTCCTGCTTGGACAGTAAAACTCCTCTGAGGACCAAGGTACAATTTTATTTTTCTCTGTGATTCCCACAGCTTGGGTTGGTTAAAGTTTCCTTCAAGGAGAAAGCAATTAAACAGCACTTTTTCAGGGCTGCAAGATAGCTCAGCAGTCTAAGTGCTTGCTTGGCAAGAGCAGGAGCCTGGGTTCTGTCCTGGCACCCCGTGCCCTGCTGGCTCTGCCCCTGGGTGTGCTAAGCCAGCCACCGAAACCAGCTGTGGTGGCACGTGTCTGTTATCCCAGCGCTGGGGAGGCTGAGACAGGAGTCCGAGTTGTGTGGCGAGACCTTGTACCAAATACATAAACAGCACTTTTTCAAAGAGGAGATGACATCACCATCCGCGAGGAAGCTCAGGCTGGACTCAGACTGCAAAGCAGAGGAGCAGGAGGAATAAAAGATTTCTGCAGTTTCCCTCACCTTCAGGGTCTGGCGCTGAAAAAGAGCCAGCGATTTGGGGCTGCCCTACAGCTCCACGCTGGTGGCACACAGAGGTTCAGCAGTGGGAAGCCCTGGGCTGCCGAAGCCCCCACAAGGGTAAGGCTTGTGATTGGCCCACAGGATCGCGAGAGGGGTGTGGCATGCTGCTGCGACATTTGTCTCTCATACATGCCACATGTGACACCAAACCAGGGCCCAGGCCTGCGCTCCGTGATCCCTGGTATCGAAGGGGGCAGAAATCTCAACACTACACAGGACACAGTGCAAGTGGCCTTCTTGTTTTGAGCATCCTCCTATTGGGCTGGGCCTGGAATAGTGCCCAGAGCCCGAGCCATCTGCCCACTTATGCCATCCCTAGGCAGGGTCTCAGCAGAAAGTGTGGCTGTCCCAGGACACTTGAGTGACTGGGCTCTCATCACAACAGTCCTGTGGACTTCGGAGTATGAGTTGGGTCAATGTCTCCGTCCTTAACATTTCCTCTTTTTTTGTTTTTATGCAGAACCAGGGATTGAACTCAGGTCCTTGCGCTTGCCAGGGAAGCGCTTATTCTACTGAGCCATCTCCCTGGCCCACATTTCATCTCCCTGGCCCACATTACCTCTTAAAAGAACTTATCTGTCACATGTGGCTGTCGTGTCTGTTCCTGTCTCCACACCTATAATCCAGATGGCCAAGCACATGCTGAGCAGTTGCAGGATGGCGCGGGGAGCACCTTTAGCGACTCATCGGGCTCCATACCTGGTTCTCAGTGATTTGGATACTTAGGGTGGAAACCCACACTAGGCTTGGAGAGAGGCAGGGCTGTGTTTCTACTCCTTCTGCAGACAGCCAGCTTTGGACATCACCTTCAGCCTGCGACCCATCTTGCCCCAGAGAGGGACCACTGTAGCCTGAGGCTGCACAGACAGCGCCTGTCCCAGTTCCCGGGGCTTTGAACTTGGTCACTCATACTTCTTTTTTTTTTTCTTTTTTTTTTTTTAACATTTATTTAGTGTGTGTGTGTGTGTGTGTGTGTGTGTGTGGCCAGCTCAGCCCACCAGGGGGCGGGGCTGGCTGGCATGTGGTGCTGGGGGATTGAACCGCGGTCCCTGGGCTTTGCCAAGCTTGTTCCAAGTAGGTGCTTTAGACCACTGAGCCATCTCTCCAGCCCCTGGTCACTCATACTTCTTCAGCAAATGCAGAGCTGACCCCCGTAGAAAGCCACGACAGTGATCCCTGCCTGACGTGTCCTCCGCTCTAAAATGTTACTGCTTTCATCTCTGCAGTGAGCTATAAAATTAGGAAGCTCACCCGGTCTTTGATCACACTCATCCCCAGTGGCTCATAACAGACTCTGTTCACAGTGAAGTAATCAAGAACAGCAGCCCTGATGTGACATTGCCACCACTGGCCAGAGCAAGTGGGTGGGATCCTTGCCCTGAGACCCTGAGGAGGGCCCGCCCTTGGCTGCTGACCTGCCAGAAACCCAGGCCCGCTTAGGCCAGCTGCAGCGCGCAGCAGGACCTCACCTGTGTGCATCTCAGTTCTGACCTTCACTTTTTCTTATTTTTATTCTTTTTTCCCCTAGTTCTCACATTCACTTACTTATATAATAAATACATTTTTCATGGTTTATCAGCACTCATAGTCACTGTAGAAAAAATTAGAAAATGTAAGTGAACAGAAAAAAAATTTATTTATTTAAAATGCTGCGGGGAGGGGCCGGGGAGATGGCTCAGTAGAATAAGTGCTTCTCTGGCAAGCGCAAGGGCCTGAGTTCAATCCCCGGTTCCGCAATAAATAAATAAATAAATAAATAAATAATAAAATAAAATGCTACCACTTGGAGAAAACTACTGTCTGGAACACAGTGTATATTAATTCATTTTTAATTGTTTGTTTGTTTTTATCTTTTGAGACAAAGTCTCACTGTGTAGTTGAGGTTGGCCTTGAACTCACTGTGTAGCCGAGGGTGATCTTCAAACTCATTCAGTCTCCTGCCTCAGCCTCTCAAGTGCTGGGATTACAGGTGCCTGTCACCGTACCCAGCCTATCTAATTTTTTTTTAATGCATGATTGATTGATTGATTGATTGATTTTGAGATAGGACCTCGCTATACAGATCAGGCTGGCCTTGTGTTCACTTTTGTAGCTCCCACACAGTTCTCGAACTTGCAGTCATCCTCCTGTTTCAACTTCCTGGGGTTCCGGGTGTGTGCCGCATGCCCAATTCCAGAAGCCACCGAATTTGGGCGTGCCTCCGAGCTAGCTCCCCAGCCCCTATACATGCATTTTTAAACTTTCATTTTTCGCTTACTGATATTTGAGAATACCATTTATGCCTATAAAAATTCACCAACATTGGACAGCTGGTCAGAGGGATCAGTTTATATTTAACCAGGCATGAGCCACTGGCCTTTTAGCTGGTTTCCAACTTTTTTTTTTTTTTTTTTTGCAGAACCGGGGATTGAACTCAGGCCCTTGTGCTTGTCAGGGAAGTGCTTATTCCACTGAGCCATCTCCCTGGCCCTAGTTTCCAACTTTTCACTTGGAAATAATATTACAGTGAATGTCTTTGTGTTTGTACACCTTTTTAGTTGTTAGGATAAATGCCTAAAAGGGGAATGGTTGGATTAAAATAAGTATATATTATTTCAAACTTTGTTCTATGAAACCTTTTAAGATGATAGAATTTAGTCAGAATTCTGCATTGGGCCCTGATGAACCCTCTCGATGGTGATCAATCCTGGCCACTTTCTCCTATCTATCCTCCCACCTGTAGGTTCTGCACAGAGACAGATGCAACACACGTGCTGGAGAGGCTTAGTTCTGAATTTTGCCCAGTCCACCTTTGAGGCAATTGCTGACTATCTGAAAATGAAAGAAGAAGAAGAAAGGCAAATTACTAGAAAAAAGTTAATATTATGCTAGGATTGGCTAGAATGGTGTTGGAGGGGTTTCATCCCTGGTACCACGTATTGAGCAGGCCCCATGCCCGGGTGCACTGAGCCAGCCACCGAGTCTGGGCGTGGTGGCGCACACCTGTAATCCCAGCACTGGGGAGGCTGAAAACAGGAGGATCACTATGAGTCTGAGCTGCGTAGTGAGACCCTGTACAAAATACGAGAGAGAGAGAG